AAAGTCTTTGTTTCCATTTTTTTCATATTAATTCCCTTCCCTTTTTTCCTTTCCCCAACCTCTCCCACTTTCCCTTTCCCTTTGCCCCTTTTCTTACTATTTCACATTATCTATTTTACCTTCTAGTCCTTATTTACACTTTCAGTTTCTCACACTAGAGAAACTATTTGGTATTTGCACATATGTGCCCTATTTATTCACTTAAGAGTATCGCCTCAATGTGCATCCATTTAGCTATAAATTTCTCTAATTTCTCATTCTTTATGGCTGAGTAGTACTCTATTTTGTAGAAAACCACATTTTCTTGATCCAGTTTCCAGTTGATGGATAATTGGGCTGCTTCCAAGTTTTAGCTATTACAAACTGTGCTGCTATGAACATGGGTGCACATATATCACTGGGGTATGATTCTTTTTATTCTTTGGGGAAGATACCCAGCAGGGGAATAGTGGGGTCAAATGGGACTTCCAGTCCTAGTTCTTTGAGGTATCTCCATACTGATTTCCACAGTGGTTGCACCAGTCTACACTCCCACCAGCAGTGGAGCAGGGTTCCTCTTTCTCCACAGCCCCGCCAGCATTTATTGGTTGATTTCATGATAGCAGCCATTCTTTCTGGGATGAGGTGGAATCTTAGTGTTGTTTTCATTTGCATCTCTCAAATGACCAGTGATGGTGAACATTTTTTCATATGTTTATTTGCTACTTCTACTTCCTTGTCTGAGAAATGTTTGTTCATTTCAGATGCCCATTTTTGGATTGGATCTTTAAATTTGGAGGGAGTGTTCTCAATACAGAAAAGATTGCTTGCTCAAGGAAAACCTTAAAATGTACATTGGTTCTACTTAGCGTGGTGAAAACATCCTACATTAATTACATGACTTTTTTCCATGGACAGTTGATATGTTTGCTTTGTAATACAGTAGTAGCAAACAGAACTCACTTATTGGCAATGTACATTTTGTCAGCCAAATACTCATCTTTTCCTTACTCTCTTCAGACATCAGGCTTTAAATGGCATGCTTAATATCATAGAAAATGAAGAGAAAAATGCAAGCAGTTACTCTAGTCTGCCTGGCTCACTGTACATTGCAACTTGGATGAGATGGTCAAGAAAGTGTAAACAGTGACCATAGAAGTTGACTCACTTACTTTTTTTTTAAGATGGAGAATACCTCCTTTAAATAATGATTCCGTGTATTTTAATACATGCTTACATTTCAATACTGTCCATTCAGTAACCATCATAAAGCTGTGGTTTACTATTGTCAAAATAAGCAGGAAAATATAAGATCAAATGATGATGATATGTTTTTCTTCAAAATTGAGAATTCCTTTGAACCCAGCCACAGGCCTGCACAAGCAATTTTGAACAGAACTGAGAATACATACCTTGTCATTATGGCAGTTCTTAGGATCTGGGACCGAAAAACAGATTTGTAGAGTCATGTTTTAGAACAAAAGAGAGTAGGCCTCCAAATTTGTTCACATAAGGCTCTGTGGCTAAGCAGCATCAGAGAGATGTTGTCCATTAAGTAGGAGAAATAAACCAAACTGCCCCCTGGATGATGTTCTCTGGAGGTGAGGACCATAGAAAGCTCACCTAGTTGGGGAATCCCTTTTTCCTGACCCCTGAATCCCCTTCCTTGGGTCTATGGGAACGAGAAGCTGACAATTGTTATCAGCAGTTACTGAGTCCTGGGCAACGTGACAAGGCAACTCTCAGGTTCCTGCCATATCCTCATCATTGTGAATTCCTGAGATGGTTAATCTTCCCTGATAATGAGGATTTAATTCTATTTTAATTGTAATCTTGTCATCCTCTTAGCCTCCATTTTCATCTCCTGTATTGTAAGATAGTTAACACTCACAGTATTGGGGGGATAAATAAATTCTAAATTTGAGTGTGCAAATTGTCAAACAGTAAGAAGTTTTCTCATATAATCTAAGGGCTGCTCACATCCCAGTATCTTTATGGGCTTAGGAAAATACAAATGTATGTCCTCACTTCAAATTCACTGCATCTGAAAACCAGTACTTTATGTAAACCAGCATAGGAAAAAATAATTTTTGATTAATATTTATCATTTTAGTTGTAGAATGCTTTACCCTGGTGTAACAATGCTGAAGAATGGCTAGTTGCCTTTCTGTGATGTTTCACCAGGGTTCTGTATTTTGTCTTCCAGAAGATGAAACATTTCTGTTTTAAGATTGACATCTTTGATCTATTTTGTCTTAGTTTAGTACATGGTGAACAGCATGGGTCTAGATTCAATCTTCTGCATGACGATAGTAAGTTTTCCTGGTACTATTTTTTAAGGAAGCTGTCTTTTCTCCAGTACATATTTTTGTGCCTCTTTTCAGAGATCAAATAGTTGAATGTGCATGGTGTTATTTCTGCACCTGTATTCTCTTCTATTGATCCATATGTCCATTTCTGTGTCAGTACTATGCTGTTTAAATCATTGTAGGTGTGTAATATAACTTCAAATTCAGGATTGTGATGCCTTCTGTTTTAATCTTGTTAAACTGTGCTGCTTCTGGTTCCATATAAATTTTAGTATTTTTTTTTCGAGTTCTGTGAAGAATGCTATTGGAATTTTCACTGGGGTTGTGTTAAATCTGTATATCAATTTTAGAAGTGTGGGCATTTGACTATGTTGGTTTTGTTTATCTGGGAACAGGGATATCTTTCCATTTTATGGCATCCTCTTCAGTCTCCTTTTTCAAAATACTGTAATTTTTTGTTCCAGAGGTCTTTTACTTCCTTTTTAAATTTCTAAGTATTTACATTTTCTTGGTGCTATTGTGAATGGTATTATTTTTTCCCTAATTTCTTTCTTAGTAAGTTCATTATTGGTGTACAAAAATCCTATTAATTTGTGTGTATTTATTTTGCATCCTTGTACATTGGTGAATTTCATTAATTATAGTAATCTTTTGGCAGAATTTTTTGGGTCTTCTATGTAAAGGATCATGTTGTCCGTAAACAAGGATCATTCGGTTTCTTCCTTTTCTATACATATCCTGTTTATTTCTTCTTCTTGCCTAATTGCTATGATGTGTTGTGCAGAGGTTCTTTTTTGTTCCTGGCTGTTTCGGGTTCTCTATGCCTCACTTATCTGTATGTTAAAGTTTTCCCCTTATTTGTAAAGGTTTCCTGCTATTATATTTCAACAAATGGTCATCCCTGCCATGTCTGCTGTCTTCTGATTTTTCACAATTTCCAATTAAACATAGATTACTCTTTGCAGCATCTATCAGCTATTGGATATAATTTTCATACTCCTTTGTTTTTAAGATATGTCTTATTAATTGATCATTGACAATAGCCCTGTCTTCTCATTTGGACCTTCTGTCTTTACACTGGTCACTTCTGCTGCCCATACTTTTGAAAGTACTTTTAATTTCTTGAATATTTTTGGTCCCTTTTTATGGGCTGTAATTCTTTTCTGTGCTTGTCATTTATTTTTTGTATCTTTTCTTTTTAATTCAGCCAGCTTTTTCTTAAGTGTCTTTTGTAGATGAACTGATCATTTTATTTATCATGGCTACTCTCTGTTTGCTTATATCTTCTTTGAGCTAGCCAAGAACTTGATCAATCTGTTTTGTTATCCTTTTTAATAATTAGCCTGTGTGACTTTTGACTTTCTCCCTTTCAATGACGCATGAATCAGCTTTGTGAGAGTTGAAAGTTTTGGGAGTATTTTATTGCCATATCTTCTCATTTTTTTTTTTTTTTTTTTTTTTGTACTGAGGCTTGCAGGTTGATTATAATGGAAATCTTTGTTACTAGGATGGAGATCTCTAATGTCTGCTTTTCAAGACACACTCTAAGTATCTTGGCCTTTGACTGTGTCCCAGGGTCAAACCACCTTTATTTATTTGGGAAGAGAGGCTGAAGCATATTTGGCATAGTACCAAATCCCCCAGGATTGGGTCACACAGTATTGTTAATGACAATGCAAGCCAGATGTTGACATCCTGAGAAAACCAATTAATAGCAACAATTATGTTATCTTGGCTATGGTAATAAAATCATTAACAATAATAGTGTCAAACACAAACTGAATATTGGCATACCCTACTAACCAATAATGTACTACCCTAAGCCATAGAAAGAGATCTATAATTATAGTACAAACATGAAGATAAACCAAATCGTGACCTACAGTAAATATCTACTAACAATAGAACAGTATCCAACAGTAATGATATAGAGTTAACTAGCTAAGTAAATATTCAAAAAGCTTAATGGTTATACTGGCAAAAGTGGGGGCATGGAGAATGAAAAAGTAAAATTTGAAAAATTAATCAATGGAAGATGAGAAGGAGAAGAAAAAAATGAGATGGGGATCCTATTAAGGAAAAAAATGAAATTAATTGTATTAGAAAATTTTCACAGAAAAGAAGGAAAAAGAAAATCAGCAAGACACAAGAAATTAAAGACAGAAAGGAAGAAAACATTAAAAACAAAAAATAAGAAAGAAAAGAAACCAAAACAAAATGGGGAAAGTCAATCCCCCCCCTCGACAAAAAATTGATGAAGAAAACAGATAATTAAAAAAATTTAAAAACAAATATTGAGCAAAAAATTCCTGTTTCTCTAAATGAATGGTTTCTTTCCAAGATCCGCAGTCTTGGAGTACAGCAAGTCACAATTTTCTCTGCCTAGCTTTAGGGCCTGTGGGTTTTGAGGAGCCTTCCCTGTACCAGAAACACCTCTCTCCATTCCCCCAGACTCTGATAACGGCCCCAGCAGAGGTGTTCTTGCTTACACTGGTAGACAGAAAAGGCTATCAGCCCTCTCATCTCTGCTGGATGCAGGCCATGGGGTGGGTATCTGAGCATGTGGTTGGACTTAATGTCAACACTCATAAGCCCTGGTGCCTCACTCAGACGGCAGGGCCCCTGTCCTTCCTGGGCTGAGCTTCAAGTTCTCAGGGAGTCTATGTTTAACCTGCACCTTCTCCATGGCTGTCTCCCGTGGTTGTCTCTCACCTTATCACTTTGGAAGGGCACCACTGGAATCTCTGAAGCTGCTGGCCAGGTCCATACCGTCTCTCTGGGTCTGCTAGCCCAATGGACTCACCTTCTCTTTCTGGGAATTGGCCCTGTCCAAGGTCAGACCAGTCCGTTAGTCTGCGCGTCTGCTGCCCGGCGCTAAGGGAAAGCAATGGGTAGAGCCGGCTTGGAGCTGGTGTATTTCGAAACTGAATAGGCTAGCTGTTGGCCTATTGGATCTTAAACAGGGCCAGGAAGGGCAGTTGCATTGTGTTCTCAGGAGGTAGAAGATGGGAACATTCAGTGAACAGTAGTAAAGATTGCAAGTTACACTGAAATGCAAATGTTTTTGTTGTCAAATTCTTCCCTTTATCCCTTAACAACAACCATTTGATTTACGTTTTTGTTCCATTGATGCATATTTTAAACTACTGCTTTGAAAACGACCAGTTAAATACTGACTTCCTACTGTGAAACTAAGTTTTGGTTCCTTCACATCGTGAGCCTTCTCTTACTCCCTTTACCCGGGCCTTTCCCTAACTTTTTAAAGAAATTAACCAAAGATGTGTTCATGTAAAAAAATGTCTATACTAAAAAGATAAATATATGAACAAAGTGGCAAAGCATCCCACTATAACAATAGAACTGTGAACTTATGAACTTGTTGGAGAATTAAGGCCTTTAGACGGAAGACTCTAGGAAATACAGAGAATCTATAAATTATAAATATTGATTAAATACTGATTTACAGCTTGGACAAAATTGAGAATATGGTAAAAGTATTTGATAAAGGACTAAAATGGAAGGTTTATTCTAAATTAGTGATAAAAAGTATTTCCAAACCTGTCATAGCGATACATGCCTATAATCCCAGTACTCAGGGAGCTGAGACAGAAGGATTACAAGTTCGAGGCCAGTCTGGGAAAATACTGAGACCTTGCCTCAAAAAATAAAGAAAAAGGATGTTCCTTATAGAAGCATTGAGGATATTGAGTTTTTAAGGGGTAAAATATAATTCTAGTATATCACTTATGTTTACAGTAAACTACCTTGTCACCACCATTCTAATAATACTATTTCTATTAGGTTTTAAATTTTGGAACTAATCTATGTAAATATAAAGGTAACTTTAGGGATGTCAAAACTTTCATAGAATGTAAGAGAAGGTGAGGGGAACATGAGGGTATTAACAGCCTTCCTTCTTCTACAAGTGGGCAGTCAATGTATCTTGTCTTTGCTTTATGAAATTTGAAATGAACCTTTAACTGTGCAATTTGAAACTTGAAATGAGAAAAGTATCAATTGAAGGCCTGAGAATAGTAGTCTAAACATATGTGGGTTGGGAGATTAGCTTTCTAAGAGACAGGGGTAGTAAACTTTCTGATTCTTTGCCTATCTCAAATTGTCATTATGCTGCCCTCATTCTCAATTGATAGTTTCATTTTACATACACATTTAAAAAAATATTGCCCATTACTTTACATTTTTGCTCCATTTGTTTTCAAACATCCAGTATTGATGGAATCTAGTTTGATTCCTGTTCTTTCCTTGTGCCTTATTTATTTCCCTTTTAAAAGAATTTGTGATCTCATCTTTGAACTCGATGTTAATTTCCTCAAAGGTGTATCTAAATCTGTTTTTTTTTTCATTCTCTTTGCTGAGAACTTGATGGACCCTTTCAACCAAAAAGCTATATTCTGCACCCAGCGAAACTTTTCTAAAATTACTTTGCTCATTTTTCTCCTGTATGTTTCTCCTTAACTACTCATTCTTGGACTGTGGTTAATCAGTTATTGCACTTCCTTGTTAGGCCCTCTGAAGTAAATTTTTTTTTCTTATTTATTTTATCTATTAAATATATTTGTGACCCTCCTGTAACATTTCTTTAAATTTGACTTTCATTTATTCTTTTGAATTATTTTCAAAATTTTGTTTCCCTTTCCTAAGAGCCGTATCTGTATTTTTATTTATCTCCATTTTTATTGAATCCTCTTGTTTTACACATGCAGATTCTTCCCCAATCTTTTCTAAATATACTAATTACAGAGTCCTAGAAAGGTTTATTCTGTTCTCTAATTTTAAAAAATTTCTCTTAGAATTAACATATTTGTTTTTTCTGTTTGTTTAGTTTTGCCCCCCACCACACACACATACACATTAATTGCTCTCCTCAGATATCCATTAAACATTCGATACTGTTTATGGTTAAAAAGGAGATACATAAAAATTTTCCTAGAAGTTCTACAGATTTAGAAAGAATTAATCATTTGTCTTCTTTCTATGATGAATAGGCAAAAATCTAATCTTTGTCCTGAGGAACAATGAATGTCAGATATTGAGTTGTCTTTATATTTTCTTTACAGAGAAATGCTGTTTTTGTTTTGTTTTGTTTTAACCTGGTGTAAGTAGTATGTTATTAGATCAATTGATGGATTAATAATGTACTTCTGTTTATTGATTTATAGTTATATGTATATTTAGTGATTTACATTTAACTCCCTTCTTTTTCCAGTCTGTCTCATTTCCTAACTCTGGTACTATTTATAAAGACTTGTCTTTTCTATTTAAAAGTTGTGAAATAGGAAGAAAATGTTCCAGTGGAAAGGGGAACTAGGCAAGGGGGAGGGGGAAAGGAACAAAGGGAAAGAAAGAAAAAGAAACAAAGACAAATAAAATGCAAACAAACTTTTATAAATAGGAGGGATAGAGGGGTTGAAGGGAGGGGAAGGGAATGGGAAAAAAAAGAATCAAGATATATCATGTACAGGTAGAAATTCCCTATGATGAATGTGATTATTATCTATATCTAATTTATACCAATAATTTTAATTAAGAAACAAAAGATTACTAAATACTTGATAAATGCTAGAAAAAAAGTGGTACTGCTACAGGTGCCAATTATTCTAGTAGTGGTTGAAATTATATACCATGTCTGTTACCCTTTAATTCTCCATAACCATAGAATGTTCACCTAAGTACTTGTAGCTAATATAATTTATCTTTTATCTTTTTATCAATTCTATTTCCCCTAAATTTCCAATCCCATTTTGTCTTCAACTCTTAGTTCACAATAGATGACCTAATAGAAAGTACTGAAAATACAGTATTCACTTACAGCATTTTATCTAGCTCTCTTGGTCCCCTGCCTTTACACAAATCAGATGAACATATGACATAGCTTAATTCTGTCCTATTTCAGGACCACATCATTGGATATTTTTCTTGCACACTGAAATGGCAGAAAAATATATCTTAGAACCCATACTCTTCTTTTTGAAAAAAGTTGCTTTAATAGCTTTCAGCTAATTCTATAACATATGTTCTGATTTTCTAATTTGTCTGTTAGCATAGCATTTAGCAATGTTTCACAAAGATAGCAAAAAATGGATGTAGTGCTAATGAAGTCTGCCACTTGAATGTAGCACAACTTAGTAAAAACTTCCAGCTGTTTCAAGATAATGATTGATTCCCAGCACTGTTCTCACTTTTCAAAGCAGTATGTAAACCCCTGGTGTATACTTATGAGCATATTTATTGTAGTTAAACAGTTCTTCAATAATTGTCATGAAGATTTGTTATGAATCCAACACTGTCCCCTGAGTGAAAAGTTTATTAGACGAGAACAAGGATATCCCAATATTCTCTTGTGTTCTAAAGCACAACTAAAACAGAAGAATAAAAGCACATGTGATAAGTTCTTTTCAGCGTAGTCAAAAATCTCTAAATTTCTGAGAATATAATTTTAGAACAGATGGTAATTCTTAATATATGTAATTAAAAAGAAGTAGTATGAAGTGTCAATGAAGATAGAAAAAAGATGCCATAGCATTGATACATTCTAGTAAATGCCTTGATATAATGAGTGAGGAAGAAGATTAGATAAGCAACATATTTCTAGCGTGGACAACCATGTGGCTGTGAGTCTCATTCCATGATAAAGGGAAAACAAGGAAAAACTTCGATCTGAAGAGATCTCCTGAGATATATTTTGTTTGAAGTACCCATGAGACATCCAAATAGATATATGTAGTAGGTGGTGAGAAAACATATTTTTAAAAATTTGCCCTAGATATATAAATTTGGAAATTTTCATTATATAAAAGGCAAATAAAACATAGTTTGTCATAATACAGAAAGACATTGATAGACAAAAAAGAGTAGGCTCCAGAACAGAAAATTAAGGGACCCAACCTAGAGGAGATGCAAAACCAAGAAGGCCTTGGAGTTAGGAGATGGAACAAGAGGGAGATATATTTCAGATGCTAAGAAAATGAAGACAATGTTGCAAGAGAGAAGGTGTCAATAATCAATAATTTAAGATGGTATTGACCAGTCAATAAATAGAACTTTTCTGCTAAATTTGGCTATAAGGAAGTCACCTATGATGCCACAAAATTTTTATTGTCAAAATTGAAGGGAAGTCTCAGAAGTAATATAAAGCAGAGAAAGAAGGAAATGTACATTTTGAAAGACTTATAACTCTAAGAAAGCATGCAAGAATTGACTTTGTTTGAAGCCCAGTCAACAGAGAATATAGATTAAGCTAGATTGATAAACAGATTAACTTTAAATAAAATTTAAGGCTTTCTTCCATGATTAACGATAAAAGAAAAATGCTTATAAATTATATTCCACTAGATCTGAGTCTCTGAATATTGCTAGGTATAGTTCTAAGATTCCACTATATTCATTCTCTGTATTAGGCATAAATATGGTAAGCTTTAATAGTTGATTTTTGCTTCTTAAGCCATGAATTATCATTCAACTGACAATGAGAGGATAAAAACTGCCCGGTATCGTTCCCTCAGACATGCTTTTACTTATACACACAAAGTATGTCAGTATCCACACATCTTCTACATCTTGAAGGAAGAAGAAAATAAATATATTCCTTAATTAAAGAACAATATTATACTCTTTTAAATACGACTTAAAATGAGAAAAATAAAACGTCAAAAATTCAAACAGTACCAAATTTAAACATATGAAGTACTAATGAAATCTCTTATCACAAAATTTTTGCTTGCTTCCTAGAGAAACCTTTCAATCCTTTCAAAACTTCTTCCTGAATCGATAAAATTTGTGTTTTAGGAAGGCTTCTTTCACTTTGAGACACTTATCAATTGGGTTTGGAGTTTTAAAAGACTGGCATTACTTAA